GTGTGAGTCAAGATACGTTATTGAGAACTCGATCGTGCTTAGCCTTTGGGCTATCTCAACACACGGTGCAGCTTTGTTGATCGTCATTCTCGAAATCTCCCATTGTCGCACGAGACCCAAAGAGAAGTCTAGGTCGAGAGATCGACATCGCAGGCCATTCATCTCACTTCATCTCACCCTCAAGTACGAGTGGATCTTGGTACAGGCGCGGTTTTTTGTGTAAACAATTTCGAAATCCTATTTCATGGTGGTAGCGTGCAGACGGCGCAGAGAGGTGTTTCATCGTTTTGATGCCCCGGCGTAGTTCGCTCTCGGAACTACTCAACAACTCGGCCCTTCTCTCACTCGGATTTTCATCATAAACATGCCACTGAACAGCTCCCGCCTAGGAAGCTAAGGGCTGTAGCTTTGTCACCAAACTTACCAACCTCCCGACCGCGGGAATGCGTTAGCTGCCGGCAGCCAAATCGCCGACTCTGCACTGCGCCATGCAGGAACCAGCACAACGAGCCCGACGTGTTAGTATTGATACGACGTCATGGCGAACCTGCTTGCTCTCTCGTAGGATGGCCGACAACATCGACATTACACGTTGCTGTCCATTCATGGAAGTGAACTGTTTCTCTGCCACGGGCCTCACAGCTGTGCCGCAAACCCTTTCTCAGCCTCCAAGCCCGGACCACAAGCCACATGCGAAGTGCAACACCGACCCAGGATCGCGGTACGCATGGTGGATCCATTGCAGAACGGACATCACTCCGATGCAGCATTACCGAGGCTCGGTTGTTAATATCCCTTTGGAAGGACTGCGGACGTCATGTGAATAATGTTGAATGCGCCTCTGCGGCGTGGTTTACATGGACACGAGGTGGCACAGCTCCGAATCACATTCAGACGGGCGATCGATATGACCGTTGCCCCGTCTGCACAAACGAGCGATCGATCGGTACCGGTTTACCAACGAACATATCTTTTATGGTACTGCTCATGCCTACGGCTGGCGGCGTAAGACAGCCACTAAGCGACTACCAACGGCGTCTTGTTGCGCTCAAATCCGCTTATCTGGCCATCTCGTGCAAAGTAGTTAGGTGTATGTAACATCAATTACACATGACTCTGCGGCGTGAGGCGACGCCAAGTGCCTGAAATACCACCAGGGAACTTACCAGCGGATGGGAATTCAGGATGCCAAGCAATAGCGAGTACGATGCGCCCACTGTCAGCCTCACCCAGTTTGCGCATCCCTCTCGGTTGCCATGTACGCATGCGTCTCATCACGTCTTCCGATTCCACGCGCGCTCGGCTCATGCCCCCTGTCACCAAGGTTGCGTAGGGCGCGCTCAAAGATCGGCCAAACAGTCAATCCGACACCTTACGTTGTAGACGTTCAGCATACCTGTTACCCAAGGTAGAAGAGCCGTGGGTATCGTTTCCCGCGTTTGAGAGCGTTCCCAAAAGTCGCTTTCTTGATTGAATTGGAGTACTTGGAGAAACTCATCAGAGCACCTTGACGTTGCATGTTCCTCTAATATCTTGAAGGAACGACCCCTTGGTTCCTGCAGGATCTCAGCTCCGCCCGCCACGATAAATTTCTGCCTGCGGCGTAGTCATCGGTCCTCCGCTTCATCTCCCCTAGGCCTCGAAGACGCCTCATCTACGTCAGGAAAAATGGCTGTGGCTGCGACGCGATACAACGAGCTCGGGAGACCCCTGACCTACTCTTGCAGGCGGCTGGACGCCACAGCGCAATGCTGCAGCACACAGCGTCGTGCAAGTATGCAGGTCAGACCCATACTGTGAGGCTGCTTGTACCTGCATTCCCGTACACGCGGCTGCAAGGTTTCCTACATGCAACTACAAACACCATGCGTAAAACGTCATTTTACTCAAGGATTTCATACTAATGCAATTTGCAGGCTGATGGCATCACACGCATCTCCAAACCCAATTACTACACAGCAGAAACACTCATACGTTACAGCTACATCTGCATGCGCAGGCAATTGTCATTCTGAGATACTTCATCGGACAAGATTGCGCAAACACGAGTTCCCGTACAATCCACAGACCAGAGCTATCGTCTCAGTATCCGCTTCATCCCCATTCGCGGAATAAAATCCACATCCCTGTCGGTCTCTCCATGTACAAACCCGCTTCCAATCTCGCCTCTTCGTGAACCGCGCAAGGTATCCGCATGTTCATTTCACAATGTGTAGGGAAAGCTGGCGTCAGATCATACTTGAGGCGTGTGAGCCCTGTCTCACGTTCTTCTTTCTTCAGATTCCGTTACTGGAACAAGTAAGATGGTACAGAGGTGTTGAAGACTGCTATTAACACCCTGGTAAGCTATTGCAGTGGTCAAGCGGAAGGTATTGCGTATGTGGGATCTGCAGTGAGCATTGTTGGTGGTTGTGGGGGAATGTTGGTTCTGGCTTGAGAAAGAGCCTCGGGAGGGTCCGACACGAGATGTAACGTGCGCACGTGGCTATGCGAAGGGAAAAGAAACCAACGTACCTCCAGATAAACGGTATCGGGTTGCTTTTCCTGTCGCGAGGAACGACAGCACCGCTTCCAGATGTCGGTTTCATGCGGAGTTTGCTGCTTTTGGCATCAGAAGCAATGTCTTCTTGCGACACGACACAGAAAAAAACGATTCAAGGTGCAACACCACTTCGGAAAGGGCGGCAGCGCAGTTCGCAGTTCTCGACCACGTTTCGATCACAAACGTCCATCGGGATCGATTTGCTTCTCGTCATGCGTTGCGATGCGATGCGCGCCATTGTCACATTAATCACAGAACGTTGCTCCAAGGAATCTAACTATCGCGCCAGGCGGCGGACTATTTTCGCCATCGTGACCGCTTCACGATTCCGACTTGGCGACTACAATTAAGTTCTCTATATCGGATCCTCGAGACACTACTGTAGGTCGGATCAAACAGATCTTGGTACTTCGGACAATACTAACAAGATGCTAGTGTGCAAAGTATGTACTGTCTTCGCTACAACGTCGCCCGTTACAGCTCATTGCATACACGAAACCTACCTTCCTTTTTCCTTCTCATCTTCCTCACCTGTCCGTAGTCTACCCAGATTTTGGTTTCGTATCATACTTCTTTATTCCGTCTCCACACGACTCACGACCCTGGTCAGTTATGCCATTGCCTTGCGCATAGCCGCGACTCACGTACACGCATTTTTCATGCGTCAAGCCTGATCAGGCGTTGCGTGCTTTGTCACGCACAACGCGCATAACGTTTTCGTCATATTTGCTTCTTGTATCTATTGGAAGGATGCAGAGTTTACGATCTGCTACGAGTACATGTACGGCATGACGAGAAGAAACACTTGGCTGTGACTATTATCACCAGCTTGCCAGCCTCACTGCGGTGTTGCGATATAGTGTTTAGCAAAGTGGAGTAATAGGACTGCCAGGGTATATGCGCGGAGAGCGTGAGCAAGGCCAGGCGAGAACAGAAGGCTCCATCCATGTCTTCACCACGTGTCGGCTTGTCCGGACAAATGGGGAGGGGTGGGTAGAGAGTGCCTAGGATCATTCTTCGGTCATCTTGGTTTTAATTGCTGTTGTTAAGCTAACGTTTCATAGTTGACAACTCGTAAGAATGCGTGACGCAACACGCATTCGCAATGCAACATCGCGACCTTTTTCTGACATGCGCACAACAGCGTACCTGCGCTGGAGTGTTGCGCGGTGTCTAGACTGCTGCTCCCTATCACTTGCTACCTACCACCGGAAGTACATGAATCAGTTGCTTGTGCGCCGTGGGCAGTGATCGACCCCGTCACGCGCATTGCCGCCCTCCACGACACGGGCCCATCAACATGAGCCTCTCAGCCCAAGTATTGCTGAAATTTTCATCGAGCATGCACACCTTGGTATCTGCAGTCGAGACTCGGTCTGGGTGAGATTGTGCGGCTCCGGCGCGGCTCCAATCTTCTCTACTGATCTCACCCGATGAGACCGTAGAATGGCCATGCAGACGGCGCTTCGCATAGGCTTATGATGACGCGCATGCTGACAGGACCCCTTCGCATCGAGGCGTTCACTCATGTTATCGCAACCCTCTTCTTGGGATATTGCCTGCGGTCCTGTCACGCAACGTCGCTCGCGGGCCGAGGAACGGCCTTGACGGGCCTTCTTCAAGGTTGCTCCTTGTTCTAGGCTCGGCGCCATGGGCAGTATCGCGCTGTCATGACTTGCATATCAGCGTGTTTTGTCCCTTGAATGTGAAGGGTCCCTGGGGATTACACAGCGGAACTTCTGGCCGATTTACATGGGGCAACAGAAGTCAGGTGAACGATGTGGATCGCGGCTGGAGAATGGCGTGTTATGGTTACGTTCGCGACGCCTCGGATGTACAACAAGTTCTATTTGGTATAGATGATCGTCTTCGTAGTGTGCAATGGATGTTTCCGAATCGAACACGTCAGTCAACATTGCCGAGAAGAGTGAATGCATTGTACTGTGACAGTCTCGTTTTGGAAATATCACATCCCTCCATCTCCATATTTCAGCTAGTGCGATGCCTTACAATGGCATCTTGAACGAGACATCGGCAAAAGCGACGCCAATCTGAGAACCCATGCTCCCTCCAAGTGTCAACTCCAAGCGTGGTTCTCGCAGATTCGTGGTCCCGGGTCTAACGGCGTATATGGCCGTGGAATGAATTTCAAATCCCTCAACCTCGGCAGAATTTCTAGATGCTGTAATCCTCTCTACCATGCCGATTACATCCGGACTGACCGGATGAACGCGTATTGACAATAATAGTGTACTACGCTTGGTCGAATTCGGATTGTCATCGAATTGTACATGTTGTGGGGACAACCCCATGTTGTCGCGAGAGGACGTGGACGAGGTCGATGATGAGCGTGGCTGCTGATAGCGCATGGCCGATGGCTCGATCTTCTTCCGGTGCAACAATTGCTCCAGTCGAAAGCTGATGCGAAAGATAGTGTCACTTCAGCGCGTGGGCGAGCTCACTGCATATCCATTTCGTCGTCATCATAGTCGGCTGTACCAGAGTAACCGTTCTCCAGGTCTTCTCTGTCCCGATCTTTTCGTTGCTGCTCTCGTGAAGCTGCGATCTTCCTGCTGACTGTTAACACTAACCGCTCACCACTTCCGCCTAGTACGTACCTCAGTCCATCAATGACACCGGTAATGAATGTCCTACCCTCTCCTACCTCCATACCTCCTACACCGTTCATCTTGAATCCACCGCCCGCATCTAGTACGTCTACACCGCTTCTGAGCTTGGCCATGCGCACTTCCCTCAGACCTCGCAGCAGTTTCCGTACATTGTCCGGTTCCTCAAAGTCGTCTGAGGCTGTCTCGAGCAGCATTTCACCTAACTCGAGCCAGTGGTATGGTAGAGCGTCCGCTGATCCTCCCGCCGTCGAGTTGAGTAGGAAGGGTGGAGAGGTAGGGATCGTGTTGTTTGAAGGCTGTGGCGGCAGTCGAGGTGGTGGGGAAAACGTTTCTGCGTATTCGATCTCGTGCTCGAGGATGGCGTTTAGAGAGTGCGTGTTCAGCCATGGTGGTGGAAGTATGTTGGCGCGGCGCTGGCCCTTGAGGAGTAGGGCTAGCCACAGAGGGATGTCTGTTCGGTGCGGAGGGACGAGGGGTTTAATGGGGCCCTGTAAATCATCAGAATCTTAAGTCACACGCAGTGCGAGTATACAAGTAATCATGGCGGGGTGTTGGAGGGGCAGGCATACACCAAGAAGCTCCAGTCCCTCGAGTCTTTGTCGCGGTATGACAGTAACGAGCTCCATTTCGCAAAGGAACGCTATTTCTGGGGGCGTCAGCCCCGGTGGGAGAGGCAATGCCATGTTGCGACGCGTGGTTTCGCGACTTCGCGTGGTGGTTTAACTTTTGGGATCGAACATTGAAGACGCGCCCGGGCCGCGGTGCGCTAGCTTGATCAGGATTACCCGTGTCTTTCAAACTGTTCATTGATCAACACCACCACCTCTCTAGCTAACCAGTCAATCGACTAGAGCAGACTGATGGCACCTCTGCTTCAGATGTGGGCTTTCCCCAGCGCTATAGCGTTCATTGTCTGGCTCATGGCCACATGGTATGGCGAAGTGATGCACGAAGTCCCGAACCCCTACCTGGCAAGTATCGACACTAAGGAAGCATTCCAACACTAACAGAATACCAGGATGAGTACTTTCATGTTCCACAGGCCCAGAAATACTGTAAAGGCGACTACTCATGGGACCCAAAGATCACAACTCCACCTGGCCTGTACGACTGCCTCTAACAACGGCTTACTGAACACAACTAATAAAAGTCCAAAGATATTTGATCTCCAAATTACAAAAGCCGCTGTTAGGCTGTGAAATAGGCTCTTTGCGCCTTGTGAACGCCCAAGCCCTTTGTGTCATATTGGTTCTGAGCTATGGTATCCTGCGTATACTCCGGACGCGTGATAACCCAAGCAAAAGCTTGTCCGATAGTGGAGAGAAAGCAAAGCCGGACCATGCCACGCATGACTCTACCTACATGGTTGATGTACATTCCGCTCTCAATGTCGCGCTGTTTCCTCCTCTTTTCTTCTTCTCGGCGTTGTACTACACAGATGTGTGGTCGACTTTGGCCGTCTTACTGGCGTTTTATGCGTATCTGGCGAACTCGGAATCGACTCGGATTGTCACGAGATATTGCAGCGCAGTGTCTTTTGGTGTCTTTGCACTTCTTTTCCGGCAAACTAATATCTTCTGGGTGGCTGTATTTCCCGCTGGACTTGCCGTTGTCGATGCGCTCAAGAAAGATGCACCTTCGACGATGTCAGACAAAGCAGATCCTATGTTGGCCATACAGACTGCCTGGGAAGACGGTACAGTTCACGACTGCTCCGTTCAAGATGCGGGGCTCCAAGGTATGATTCGCTATGGGAGCCTACTAAAGCAGTTGCTGATAGTCTGTTAGATGTTGTTGTGTTCGTGTTGTCCTTGGTCGTTGCAGCCTTACGGAAACCTTTGCTCGTGCTCAAGGTTGCTTCGCCTTATATCATCCTCTTAGTCTTGTTCGCTGGCTTTGTAGCCTGGAACGGGAGTGTTGTCCTTGGTAAGCGTAACCCTGGGCCTCCACGTTGACAAACTACTGACATGAAGAGGGGACAAATCGGCCCACACGGCTACCATCCATCTTCCTCAGATGCTGTATATCTGGCCATACATAGCATTCTTCTCAGCGCCACTGGTGGTCGGGTCTTTGGTTGGACCGCTTGTTCCTTTTCTACCCATACGTCTGCAGACAGTGTGTCACGACTACCGTATCGCCTTTAGCTTGGGGCTTCCAGCGCTGCTCACAACTGGACTTTTCCTAGCCTGCAGCTTCCTTGCCGTGCATTTCAACACCATCATCCACCCGTACACCTTGGCCGACAACCGGCACTATGTTTTCTACATCTTCAAGATGCTTCGACTATATCCAGCATTGAAATACCTCGCGATTCCAGCATACTACGTCTGTGCATGGTCCACGATCCAAGCGCTTGTCTCACCAACGAAGACCGTCTCACGAGCGGCGGAGCAAGCACCGGAAGAGAAGATCAAGACCGACCTCTCCAAAGACACAGTTGATCGCCAACCCTGCCGGATAAGCTTTGTTATCATATGGCTAGCCACGACTGCTCTATCGGTGGTTACTGCGCCTCTTGTAGAGCCCCGTTATTTCATCCTTCCCTGGATCATCTGGCGACTTCATGTGCCGTGTGGTCGAACCACGAACTCGAGAAACGGATACGATATCAGACTGATTCTGGAGACTGTCTGGCTGCTTGCTATCAACGTAGCAGTCTCACATACGTTCCTGTTCCGCACGTTTACGTGGGCTAGCGAGCCTGGTAACTTACAGAGGTTCATCTGGTAGGGAGATGAACGTCAAATCTCGGCGACGTTTGATGGCTCTACAGATCCACATCTTCAGCAAGTACCACCGCAGTTGAATTTGATTTGAGTAACTTTGTGCCTTTGAGCGCAGCTAAGCTATTGAGGCAGTATCGGCTCTTTCAACATGGTACTTGTTTGGAATCAATCACAGAGATACATCCTCATAATACGCCCGTGGTTCATGGGGGTCTTTCTTGCTCAGAACTAAACTCAATTGTATCTAAACCATTTCCGTTAAATTCTAGGTAGTCCTCATTCTGTCCCAAAGACTATCTCTACAGTGAGCATGGTTCATCCGAGAGGTGCGCCGGACTTGCAATTCCCCTGCTCTGCTAATAGAGTTTGTATGGTTAGTACCTGTTCAAGCATGAAACTGGTCAAATAGCCTATGCAAACATGATAAACGCCTCACTTCGACGTCCATGACATTATGTGGTTGTACAATACTCTCGAATAACATAACCATATTCACTCGCAAGAATAAACGCCGTTTCCACCGCTCCAACGATATGGTCTTCGTCGGTTCTCGTTGCCCATGTGATTTTTGACTGCCCGTTCCGATGCCCTTTCTGCATACGTTCTCCTTCTTCTTGAACTGTGCATACTCATTCGCGCTTCATAGAAACGCAGAATGAATACCACCCAATGCGCCCACCGTGCATCAACCCATTGTGCCATTTCCTCTAGTTCTTGCCATGATGTTGCTCATTACCCATTGTCAATCTCAGCACGAAGTTGACAATGACGGCGGCAAACAGGGCAATGGTCAAAATGGTGGGACCCAGCCTGTCGTCGAAGCCGCCCTGGCCCCTAAGTCTTATGCTCCTTGCGCGCCAGTGGAAGGTGAAGAGGGCGTAGATCATGGCCATCATGGCAACGAGGGTGAAGAGGCCGGCGGAAATCTTGCCAATCTTGTCGCCGAAGTTGAGTAGGCCAATCGCGAGGCCGCCGAGGATGACGGTGAAGTTGAGCCATGAAAGGAAGGTGCGCTCGTTTGCGAAAAAGACTTTGGGCTCGACGCGCGTAGGGAGAGCGATGCGCTTGCCTAGAGAAGAGGGTTAGTAAGCGCATTTGCGGAGGGCAGGAGGACGCGACATACCCGGGGCAGTCTGGAGAAGCGGTTGGGTAGACATGACGATGGTGATAGCAGCCCCACTGAAGTTGCGACGCGAGCTTTGCGATGGTGTTCCTGACAAGGTAGAATGGGCAATTGACGGGCGCCGGTGAATCCAATGCTTGGTGCAGCTTCAGACGAAGAGAGTGGTGGCAGGAGAGAGTTGTCGAGAAGAAGTCTGCTGCACTGTGCCGTCAAAGCTCGATGTTGCGGGTCGCGATGGGAACCCATGCACTCGCGACTTGCGTCGGCCTATCATGACGCCCACGTGACAGCGTTGCATAGGCGACGCTCATTGGCTGTGAGGCTGCATACGGGGATGGCCCGGTCCCTCTGTGCCACGTCCAACTCCGGCCGCCGACGCTAGTTGTGGCCAAACACTGATCCTGGGAGTAAACACGACATTCACACTGTTCACTGCACAGCATCACCGTCCTAGGCATCGACATACTTTAAAAGTCAACCAGTCCCTACATCAATAATCCCTACACAGCACAATCATCGCTATGGCAGTACGTATCTTCACCGGCCTACAGCATGGACAGAATACTGACAGAGGACAGTCCGCGTCACCGCTTCCCACCTCCGAGCTGGAGCAAATTGCCCAACAGGTATACCACCCTAAATACATTAGGATGAAGATGCATGAGCTAACAATGGCATTTAGGCCTGCGAGCAAGCCATCGGTTCCGCAGAATCATATGACCACACCAAGGTTGGAGAGTGGAACAGCGAGATCATCGTAAGTCTCAATTATATTTCCCTGCGCTAGCTTGCGCAACCATATGCGCCACTAGCCCCGTCAAAAGTTGGCGTCTGGTCTCCAGTGTAGAAGAAGCCAAAACCAGGCGGCTTTGCACACCTGCGAGTGCCCCAAGGCTCTGTCGTTGACAGCAGAAGGCGCCAGCGAATGGCTGCGCAGATCGGTGTCGCAGCCACGCACGCGACCTCACCTCATCTAGATCCTCTGCTAACATCCACACCAGCAATCCATCCTGAAGACTCTCATCAGCAAGACCACACCTGCATCCGAGACCTCCACCCCTGAAACTCCCGCGCAACCCGCCTACAAGTACATCGCCAACAGCACGGTAATCCAACACATTGGCTCTCCCGCAGAGCCGGAGAAGCACGGCCGCCGCGGCATGCACAGCGCAGTCGGCGCCTTTTGGAACAACGAGAAGGATGGCACATACAGCTACAAGTGGGAGGCTGCCGAGAAGAAGGGCATGGACATCGTCATTACTATTACCTGGATCGCTATCTAGAAGGGTTATAGCGCCCAGGGCGATGAAGCTCCCGTATGGGAGCGATCGCATCTCCCGTACAGACGATCAATCAAGATAGAAAGAGCCAAGACCCAGTATGCGAAGGTGGGGGCGAGCGAGAGCTATGTGAATGGCTTGCTCAAGGGTGCGAGGTGAGCTTGGGATGGGTTTTGCTTCGAGATCGATGTTCTTCTTCTCATGGGTATGGCGTTGAAATCTCAGTGTGCATAGTCTTGCGCTTCTTCGAGTTGATATGGCGAAATTGATACCTACTTCTTATTCACTCAATGTCTTTTGCTGCGATGATGGTTGAAATTGCAGTGTATGCGTTGAATATGGTATCGACTATTTACTCATGGGCTCGTCTACATGGACATCATGGCATACTATTACTGATCCCACTGCATATCCCGTCTCGACCTACAACCATGGAAGTAGTGTGGCAGAGTATACGCTCAGTACGCGAAAGTAAAGAATGACCACGTCAAGTAAGCAACAGGGTACAGAGAAGGAAGGTCAAGAACGAAGAACAGCTTTTAGGCCTCTGCCTTTTGGCTCGTGGCCTGGGTGCCTACGCCATCTGTGTGCGTAGTGCTACTCCGTCCGTTTACGGCTTGCTCCCGCTTGCTGATAAGTGCCCGGAGTTCGTCTGTGGTGCTCTTGCCGCCGTTCTTTTCGGTGATGAGGCCCTTTAGCCATGCGTTCTCTGTCTGAAGTTGCTGAATGGTAGCCTCTAGCTTGGCGACCTTCTCCTGAGCCTCCTTCTGAGATTGCTCGAGAGCCTGCTCACGCTGCTTCTTCTTGATGCGGAAGCGAGCGCTCGCAGCAGTGTTACGGCGACGCTTGTCCTCCTCAGCGGCTACGCGGGCGTTCTCGTCGAGTGATTGTGGGATGACGGGAGCGGCATTGTCGAGCTTGCGCTTCTTCGAAGCCTGGTCGTAGCCTTGCGCGGCAGGGGATAGTGAGGAGGCAGGCGAAGCGTAGTTGGGTGCGAGCGGGTAGTGGGCAGGCTGAGTGTGCGCCAGTGGCATAGACGGGTCAAAGGCTGGGGCCGTACCGAAGTTGTTGAAGTCGGTGAACGGGAAGTCGCCTATAAGGGTATCAAAGTCAGCCATGGGTGTTCAAGGCTACGATAGTCGGATGGTGATGTGAGTGTGTGGTGTTTCTGCTCAGCGCAACAACCAACTACGTGCTTGCAGGGATGTTTAGCTGCATCAGCATCCCATGTGGTGAGTGGCTAGCACATAGGGTGTGGGGTGACGATGCATACTGCACACAAGGCGGGGTGTGCATGCGCCTCTCGTTCGCGTAATTGGACGAAGAGTACGATGCCTGACAAGGACGAGACTCGATTGGCAATCACCCAATCGACAGGATAAAAGGGCGGCTGTAAGAACGGGAGAATGCTTACCATTCAGATTGAAGTCCATAGTCGCGTCGACGCTAGTGCTGGGGTTGCGCGGAAACTCTCCGTCCGTCTTCAACGGCTGTGTTTGCTCGGTTTCAAACCCGAGGCCAAAGTCACTGGTAGAAGCAAAGTCGACGCTGGCGTTGCGAGCGCCGTCCGCGTCGAAGAAGTCGCCGTTCAGGAAGTCGGAGAAGTCCTCGGCGGGCGCTGGCTCAGCGAGCAGATCCTGCTGTGGCGACAGCTGGTTGAGGTTCGCGATGTACTGGGACACGTTGGGCCCTCGCTGCCCTTTGTAGGCGGACATGGGCGTTTGTTTGCTATCCGGAGGACGATGGAGTCCAGTCGCTGGTAATATGCTGCTGAGAAAGTGGGAGTCGGCTCTCTGCCGGGCCCGATCCGATGGCGCTTGCGTGGCAGAAGCTGATATTGCGAGAGTGAATTTTGCTGCGGCGTCGTCGGGTAGTTCACTGAATTGGTGTACACGTTCTCTTTCGCGAATAGTTGGAGAGAGTACAAAAAGCAAGAGGGATGTGTGCGGGTGTCGTGACGTGGATGAACGTCAAAGTGCGAAGGGCGTTCTCGATCAATGGGAGCCCCGCGGTAGCTGACTACTTGGTATTAGCGACCGTAAACCCCAGGCCGCGTTTACGCCGAGCCTCACCCCACGTGCGGTTGGACTTGCAAACGACTGTTGCGTTCAAATTCGAGACTTTGAATGTAAAGGTAACTGTGGGTAACTGCTTGGACCGAGAACGCTGAGCATTGATGAAGCGATGAGTCTCTCATGACGGCTCTCACCGTCAGCACACAGGACTCCTTCTTACGACAGCTGAACACTGACTGTTTGTAATCAAGACGTTCAAATTGCCGACAGCCAATCGTGTTTGAGCGTCTTTGTCCGAGACTGGACCGGCGATCTAGGTGGATCCCAGATTTGAAAGACGGCACTTTCCATGCGGCATTAACATGCTATCTTCGGCAAGAAACAAGTAATCAATCCTCACTCGAGTCTTGCGAATAAGGTAAAATATTCCTAGCCATAGTACAGGTGTATGCGACCGCAGGAGTACGTATGGCTGTCAACGAGATGCAGTCTTGAATTGATCTTGCAGGCTCGTTGGGGACAGCTTCACGTGTATCAATGTTGGTAATACTATATGGTCATCTATGACGGACCAGCACCACAGTACCTAGGTAGGTCTGGAGACTACCTACCTAGGTAGGAAGGGGAACTATCATTATGCCTAGGTAGCCACACAAGGGCCAAAGTCAAAGACACCAGATCGAAAGTGTTCAAATCCAAGCGCTTCGGGGCGATTCGTGGCTTGAGAGCATATGTCTGTCGCTACGTGGTACCTCCAAGGCTGAGTGCGATGGCCAGGTGCCCAGGTGGGGAGGCCATGTCACGTGGTGTCCCACGTTCCTCCTCGACGCGTCGCGACTCCACTATCGATAACATCGTCCGATCAACAACGCCCAGCAACCCCTCCATGTAGACCAAAAGCGCATCGACGTGATGGCTACCGCCCCCGACTATAAGAACATCCCCCACTCCCACCGGCTGCCCGTAAACCACCGCGAAGTCCAGCGAACCTTCACCAAGCTCTCCCGCCAGTCCCTCGTATCGCTCGCGCTGCAATGGCTCAGCAAGAAGAACCGCGACTTCTGCAAGCCATACCTCCTCGGCGATCGCATACAGGATGAGGATGAGGAGGAGATATACGAGCCGGCGCAAAGCTATGAGGTGCTCCAGGAGACGTACAAGCAGCTTGCCGCGCGCAAAGGTGGCAGGAGGGAGGTGCTCGACCGCATACTCGAGGGAGACTGGCAACACGGCATATCCATGTACCAGCTGGCAACGGCTGAGATCCAGTACCTCCTCGACCATCCAAATGCCTTGCGCTGGACGGCCAAGCGTCTTACCAAGATACCGAATGCGCGATCACCAGTAACGGACATGGAAGTCACAAACGATTCAGATCACCTCCCACGCTTCCAGGCGCAAACCTTCATGTCAAATCTCGCAAGAGAATTGACGCCACTGATGAAGGCGCATTACCTGATGACACGGATAAAAACATCGCCCATGACCATCCTACGCGTCTACATACACGATTCGCCCTACAGCAACGAGACATCGATGACCGTAGAGTCCAGTAGCACGGACAGTGCGAAAGCTGTATTCTTCGTCTGGCCAAATGGCTCGCCTTTTGTATATTCGTCGCTAGCAACGCTCACCGGCCAGGTCGTCGGAGATGAGGGGCGGCATCTGAGGGACATCGTGCAACAAGCAATACCGAAAGCCTTCTCGAGACCTTCTGCGCGTTACCAATTGACAAGCAC